TAAAAATTAAGAAAAAAAGACTGTGGCTTGAGTCAGGCACTAAGTGTGACAACTTATTGTCAAAGCAGTACCTTTGCTCTGTAACATGTTAAAGAGATCTTGTGCAGTAGGTTTTCCCAAGGCAGTATGGTGTTTGATTTCTTGACTGCTTTCCACTCTGTCACTGGACCTTCTTTTGCTCATTTAACCCCCAGTAGTGGTTACTCTAGTAGTGAGAAGACACTCAAACTGTTGCCATGGAGGCAGAACCAAGTCATAGCTGGCCCTCCAGTGGGTTTCCAAGGCAATCAGAACTGCATGATCCTGCCCGACTTCCCCTCTTGGGACCACAGGAAGGGGTAGGGATTCAAATCACCAGAGGTGAGACCTCCAGGTCAGCAGCACAACTCTCTGTGGATGATGGCCACCAGGGCTCCGTGGGGAGGAGACAGGAAATGTGAAGGGGGGGAAAAACCAAAACCAGAAAGAGAAAAAGATTGCTGGAAACTGTTTTAGGTAATCTTCCTTCCCTGGTAAAAGAAAGACATTTACTCTGTGACCAATAAAGTATTGAATATCTGAGTAAGGAGAATCGGTTCAAAACGTACTGATTCCAGCAGAGATTTACACTAAAACTCAAGTATTAGCATTTAAATGTCAAACACAGCACTTTTTAATAGCGCTTTTGAAAAACCAGAAATTGGTTTACCATGAGCAAAAACATCAAACAAAGGAGATGTTATAACCACATGCTTTTTTAATTTCCTTCACCTGCTGTGAAGGTTCAGTTCAGTTACAAATTCACATCCCCAGCCTCTCTATTTTGTTGAGGTGGACAGACCCTCGGAGAGAAGCACTCACCCGACACAGTACACATCTGGAGCCTGAACCCCGTGGCTGAGCCACGAACGAAGGCATTCCTTGGGAGACTGTCCATTCACATTGTATGTTCCCACAAAGAACCTGTCACCAAAGAAAGTTGCTTAATGACAAGGAAGGACTTTGCAGATGATGGGGGGGAGGGGAAGAACACACACACTTCGATGCTGCCTTGGATGGCTCACTCTCTCTGCAGTAGCCTCCCCACCCCCCAAGTAGACTTTAAAAGCTTAAGAAATCTAACCCAGGCCAACGACTAGTACCAAGGGAATGCAGTCTGCCATGTTATTTCTTGACCCTGTGATAACTCAAGTAGTACAGACTTATTCTGAATATTCCTACTCCCTTTTAGCAGCCTTTATAAAGTCAAAATTATTTTTGTCCTGCGTATGTTATTGATAGAAAAAAACTGTAATGTCTTGGTAATCACTAGGCTGTTTTTTTATAATTTACAGTTTATATCTCTAGAAATCATACTATTTTGTCTTATAGGCCCAATGATTTTAAATGATGTAGAGGATTTCTTAAACTTTAACTCACTAAACTATCAGTAATTCTGTCCAAATAGATTATCAAAATACCAACTAATTTCACCTTAACTGACTTTCTCCAAAGGCTCAGAATGATGAGGGGAGAAAAATCTCAGAAGCTCTCTCCAATTACAGCAAAAAAGAATGAAGAAAATAGAAAATAAAAGATTGTTGTTCCAGCTTGTTAATACAATCTTGGAACCAGAAGAACTGAATGGTGTCCAGATATACTGCCGAGTGCTCTTAAAAGGATCACAATAAAAGGACCCTGATAGATTAGTAGGGAAAGTGGGACAAAACTTAAAAACCACCTACAATCAAGAGAGAATAAAATAGCTGAATGGGACCATCTAAGAATCAAATCCCTATGCACATCAAAACACTTCTCTAACAGGGTAAGAAGAAAAATCAGAGACTGGGAAAAAATTTTTGGTGATGACATATCTGATAAGGGACATGTATCTAAAATTTACAGACTACTCCAGGACTTCAACAAGAAAAGCACCTCACCAATCACGAAATGGGCACAGGACATGAATAGACACTTCACCAAAGATGACATTTAAACAAAAACATGAAATGTTCAAGATCTCTAGCTATCAGAGAGATGCAAATAAAAACAACTATGACACATCACCTCACCCCAGCAACAACAGCAAAGTTCAACAGAACAACAAACAACAAATGGGTTAACAAAACAACTATGAGATCTCACACCCCGCAACAATAGCAAAATTCAAAAGAACAGCAAACAACAAATGCTGGTGAGGCTGTGGAGAGCCTGGAATGGTACAGCCTTTAAGGAAGGCTGTCTGATGCTTTCACAAAAAGTTGGAAATGGATATATCATTTGACCCAGGAATTTCATGACTGGGAATATACCCTAAAGAAACCAGAGCCATGACTCAAACAGATGTATGCACACTCATGTTTACTACTGCATTATTCACAATAGCAAAAGAGATGGAAGCAACCCCAATGCCCTATAACAAACAAATGGATAGAGAAACTATGGTACATTCACACAATGAAGCACTGAAAAGCAGTGAACTCATAAAGCATTACACAACATGGGGGAGCCTGGAGAACATTATGCTGAGTGAAATATGTGAGTCACAAAAAGACAAAAATGTGTAACACTGCTATTATAAAATATGACAGATGAGGTGGAGGGGTTATGTAGAGAATGGGAAAAGAGTGGCTAGATAATGAACACTGTAGTAGAGCAGATGAGGAAAAATGGTTCAAAAGGAATATATGATTAGGCATTATACATATGACAACAATCTGGAACAAGGCGTACATTGCTGTCTGGGCTAGGTGGAGGAGAGGAAGGAAAGAAAACGTACAACCAAAAAAAAAGGAAAAAATAATATTATAAATGAAAAAAAGTTAAATGGAGGAGGGGAGGGAAGAAAATGTGCAATAATGAATGCATGAAAATGAAACTTTTCTGTAAACCTTTGTTAAAATCACAATAAAATATAAAGTTAAAAAATAATAAAAGAATGTTAGGGAAGTTGGAAATAAACTCACTAACCCTAACACAAAAGAACAGGCTAAGGGAGCTCTGGTGGTCTAGTGGCAAGAAGCTGCACTGCAATCCCAGAGGGACTCGGTTTGAATCCACCAGATGCTCTCCTGGAGAAGGAGGGGCAATCTCCTCCTGTACCAGTCAGATATGTACCAGGCAGATCTGATTTGACCGTACACATACACACAAATAATAAAATAAAATTTAAAAACTTTAAAAAAGAACAGACTCATGGTCTGATGGAAATTAGTGGAACCCTGAATCCCGCAAGCCTGGAGGTGAACTCACCTCAAGATTCAATTTCCCACCAAACAATAGACAAAACACCAGAGAGGAGCACACTCCTTAGAATAAACTATCAGAAAAGATCAAAAGGGCCCCGTTTACCCAGGAGTAAAGCTCTAAAAGTCAGGGAGGGCTAGGAAAGAAGAACAAACTGAAACAGGAAACACTAGGAGGAAGTGGAACGAATGCTGTCACAACATGGGGATTGGAACCAATGTCTTCATACATAATTAGGATGAATTTTTTTAACAGAAAACCAATTTGCTCTGTTTACTTTCACTCAAGTCACAGTAAAAAGTTTTTTTAAAAACTTTAAATGCATAGGGAGGGAAATCTAGAAGAACACACAAAACGTTCTGGTGGCCTAGTGGTAAGAAGTTGCACTGCAATCCCAAAAGCATGCAGTCTGAATGCACCAGCTGCTGCATGGGAGAACGATGGACAATTTCCTCCCATGCAATTTACTGCCCCTGAAAACCTGCTGGGAAGATCAGCTATGGGTCAGTTCTGTCTTGAAGGCACACAACAACAACAACTCTCTCTTCTGTACAATTTATATTCTGCAAATACTTCTGTAACTATTTGCAAACTGTGTCACTTTCACTGTAACAAATTAGTGCCCAGTCAAAACAGACACATGCTAAACATGAAAGACATATGAAAATATGTTAAACAATAAAAATAATTATTTAATTCAACTCAACACTGTCAAGTTGAAACCAAGTCATAGTTGACCCTCCAAGGATATAAACAGCATGAAAGGAGTTTGCCCATTTTTCTCCCAGGGAACAGCCTGTGGATTCAAACTACACGCCTAGAGACTGGCTGCACAATTCCTTACCACCAGGCTATCAGAGCTCTGTCATAAACCACTGTTGTTACTGTTCTTGTTGTTGTGTGAGCCTCCAGTGGGTTTTCAGAGGCAGTTAACTGCACAGGAGGAGACTGCCTATCTTTCTCCTTGAAAGTAGCTAGTGGATTCAAACTTCATGCCTTCGGGATTGCAGTGCAGTTTCTTCCCACAGTCAATTAGAGCTCCCTCATAAACCAGTAGGTATTACAAATTAAAATAACAATGAGACATCACTATATATTTATCAGAATGACTAAAATTCAAAACACCAACAACACTAAATGCTGACATGAATTAGGTGGAGCAACAAGAAGCCTCACTCATTGCTGGTGTAGCTACTCTAGAGACAGGGTACCAGTTTCTTACAAAACTAAACATAATCTTTACCATACTACCCAAAAGTCTCAGGCTGATATTTAGCCAGAGTTGAAAACATATGTCTACACAAAACCACATATACAATGTTATTAGCAGCTGTAGTCAAAACTGAAAACATGAAATCAATCAATATGTTCTCCCCCCAGTTGAATAAACAAACTGTGGTAAATCCATATACTGGAATATTATTCTGTTATGAAAACAAATGAGCTATCAAGCCCTTAAAAAATAAACAGCACTTTTAAATGCATATTACAAAATCTGAAAAGACTGAGCACCACAGAATTTCAATTAAGCAGCATTCAAGAAAAGGCAAAACTATCGTAATGGTAAGAATTAAGTGATTGTGGGAAGCAATGAAAAAATAAGTGCAGTACAGGGGATTTTTAGGGCAGTGAAAAGGTTCTGTATGATACTGTAAATGGTAGATACAGAACACTATAGATTTATCATAATTTACACAAAAAGTGAACAGTAACATAAACTATGGTTAACAATAATGTAATAACAGTTATTCATCAATTTTAACAAATGTACCACCATAACAGAAAATGTCAATAATAGGAGAAATTGTGTGCTACCGGGATTGAGTCATATGTGAACATCTCTACTTTCTGCTCAATTTTTCTGTAAACTTAAAACAGCTCTAAGAACAAAGTTCTTTTTTTTAAGCCTTCCTTTAAAAAAAAGCCATGAATAAAACAAAATAAGGTGACTGAATGAATGAAAAAAATCAATGTTTCATAAACTTTCCCTCAAACACACAATTTTTTTTTAAGGAAGAAAAGTTACTCATTTAGAAAATGGGGGGAGAAGGTTTATAAAATGATTTGCTTCTAGATCCAGGGTCCAAGGGGAAGTGTGTCAATCTCAGAACTGAATGACCACTTTGCTTGGACACCAGTCTACAACCTGATTAAGTACCTGAAGTTCTGAATATTGGTATAATCCTCTTCTTTCTGTACCAGTTGTGATTTCACAATTGTATCTCGAAGTCCGAACTTCTGCACTGATAAAATATGAGCCTTGTCTGATACCGTCATAGTGGAGGAACGAATCATGTCGGAAATCTCAGACTTGGATTTATTCTGTCTAGAAACATACATTTAAAAAAAATTACTAAACATTGATCAGTTCTCCATGAGAGACCTTCTGCATACAAATTAGGAAGTTTCCACACATAAGCATCTGGGCTGCAAAACACGAAAAGAGGCAAAGGTAAAATTTATTTATATAAAATCATATAATTTATATGTGGAATTAATTTCATCTATACACCGTTGATTATGCAATATAGAGAATATAGTCTTTTTTGGAGATCTTTCTTT